ATTAGAGCTATTTGTATCCATTCCATAGTATTCATCACTTTAGCACCCAAAGCAAGTAGCACAAAAAGGTACCTCACAACACATGACCCCACTGACTGCTATTTTGCCAGAAAGTCCTACCACCACAGCATTAGAGCAAGTTTAAGTGTAAAGATCTTACCACATGGATATTGTACACATTAGAGCTATTTGTATCCATTCAAGGATGATTTTAGTACCTGAATGGTAATACTTTTCCATGACTAGACAGGCAAATGATTTCCAACTATGTTGTTGGTACAACAAATCTCATTCTACATTTACTTCTTTTTTCCTAGAGATTAGTGGTTTCAAGCTTCAACACACATCAGAATCAACTTATTAAAACACAGTGGCTGGAGGCCCTACCCCTATAGTTTCTGATCAATAGGTCTTGGAAGAAGACCAAGAATTTGCATTTCTAACAAGTTCCTGGATGATTCTGATGCTGCTTTTATTAGTCAGTTTTCTGTTGCCTATAACAGAATACCTGAAACTGAGTAATTTATAAGAAAATAAAATTTATTCTTACAGTTTTGGAGTCTGGGAAGTTAAAGTCCAGGGAGCTCACCTGGTGAGGGCCTTCTTTGTAAAAACCCTGTACAGAGTCCTGTGACAACACAGGGTATCACAAGGCAAGGGCTGAACAAAAGCATTCTCATCTGCTCTCCTTATAAAGCTACAAGTCCACACGCATAATCATCCATTAATCCATTAATAGATTAATCCATTCATGAGGGCAGAGTCTTCATGATTCTATCAGCTCTTAAAGGCCCCACCTTTCAAATACCATATTGTGGATTAAGCTCCAACATGAGCTTTGGAGGGGGACAAACCTTCAAACCATGGCACTAGTTATCTGAGGACCCCTTTAAACATTACAGTTAGGTTATCTACATAGAATATAGTCATCAAATTGAGGTTAAGTCAAACAGTGCAGACATTTTAATGGCATCTAAGACATATTTCTGAATTCCCTTTCTACAAGCTCATACAAGTTTGTATTGCCAACTGACTTCTTGGTGCTTGGAGCCTAGGTAGACACCACCTAATTGAATGAACAAAAGAACAAAAGAAATATCTTATTTCTCTCCTCTCTGAAATCAAGAAATTAGGCTTGAGACCCATCTATTTACATTTCAAAGGTGCATATCTTGGTTGAATGGGAATATCCAAATCTCTATTATTGCAGAAATCAGCAAGGAGGTTTTATCACCATCATCCAAATTCAAAAATCACTGAAAAATAACTAAAATATTAATACCTTAGAGGAGAGTAAATTTGTATCTGTGCAATATAGATACAAATTAGCTACATTCGGTAGTTAAAAAAACATATTGTTCATTGGAAGGTGCAGGGCAAAAATCCCACTCTGAGAAATTGTTTTTGATAAACGAGAAACAAGAAAATTCATATTTGACAGGGGATTATTAGGATGTTTGCTCAAAACCTACAGTCAAAAATCTCAGAGGTTTGATTAGCTACATTCGGTAGTTAAAAAAACATATTGTTCATTGGAAGGTGCAGGGCAAAAATCCGACTCTGAGAAATTGTTTTTGATAAACGAGAAACAAGAAAATTCATATTTGACAGGGGATTATTAGGATGTTTGCTCAAAACCTAGAGTCAAAAATCTCAGAGGTTTTTCATATTTGACAGGGGATTATTAGGATGTTTGCTCAAAACCTACAGTCAAAAATCTCAGAGGTTTGACCTGTATTAAAATATTTTTTATATCTGGGTAGAGATTAATCCTTCACCTGTAAATGGAGATATATGCACATCAAAAAATATGTCTACATAAGCATGTAGATACATCTACATAAGTACACATTAAATAGCCACATATGGGAGGTATCTGTTCATACATTGGTTTCTATAAATTCACAGACAAGACAAATATCTTCCTGGCCTCTTTCTGAAATCTGCACATTCTTATATTTTTCATTTTTATATGACGTTATTGCATCTGTTTGAATGTATAGAGAAGATATGTTCATATACACATATAATCATAAAAGTGATTGGGTGCTATCAACAAACCTTGGAAGGAGTTTAGCAGTGAAATCATTAACTCTGGCTTAAGCTGAGGAGAAGAGTAAGTCAAGACTAAATATGTTATATACAGGCTTATTAAGAGAATCTTATATTTATGACTTTGTAAGCGATAATTCTTTCTGAGCCAGTGTTTTGATAATTATGTTATCTTTAAGTAACAGTTGACGTTATAGTCTTAACAGCGTTAAATGACCCTGAATTGTTCCTTGCACTGGACAGATTCATTATCACTATATGAAGACAATGATGCTCTCAGGATGGACAGAAAACTAGGATACAAATGCTAAAGACACGATGCGTATTTCATTTTATGTATATCTTACAGAATAATACACATCAACTCAGCCAGATAAATATTACTATATCAGGCAGCCTCAAAACAGATGCAACAAAGTTTAAAATATGCCCATCTTAAAAATACAAACTTAAGAAATGTAGAACTGCAGAGGAGAGACTGTGAAGTGGTCATTCACCTAGTGTTCAAAGAAACACAGTTAAAATATTAGTGGTGATAACTATGTGATCACTTGAAACCAATTCAATAGCTTTGAGTTATTCTGAGTAAAAGCTGCCAGTCCCTTACAATGATTTAGAGCAGAACGACAACTAATTAAATACAGTCCCTGCCACAAATCAAAAGTACTAGCCAAAATGTGTACACATCAATGAGATGTTTTTAGTTCGTCCATTCAGTATAGAGGAGGAAATAGGGAGAAAATGTGTTATGTGAGGTACATGTGGCATGCCTGTGAAATTTTAACTCCTAAGCCTCTAGGGATAATCAGAGACAAAGAGAGGAGCCTTTTTAGAATTACTTTACTCCACTAGGGTAGAAATAGACTTATGGCAAGCCAAAGGATAAGAATTTCAAAGAATATGTTCACAGACATTTTCCTTCTTTGACAAATAATTTTGGTTTCTAATTTAGGCAGTGATATAGAATGTTTCTTTGTAAAAACTGTTTTTTAAAAAAGTGTCAATTTTCAAATGAAATCTGTTATAAAAAATAGTAAAATTGTATGTGGACAGTGCAAAAATCAAGAAAGTGATTAAAGTTTGTTGAAGCACTGTTCTAAAACGCATGTCATAATAGCATGCAGCCTTAACTTGCAAGACCAGTTAGTGAGTAACCACATCATGGTTAACTCTCCTACTGCAGTCATACCTGGAACATTAGAAGTAGGAAACTGAGCATGCACAATGTGTTCTGATGTATTAACTGATATTAAATTAAAATGCTATCACTAAAAGTTTGATGCAATTTTTCCAGGAAAGCAAATCTCAATTCCTCTATAAACAACACATGAATAGATTTTAGTAAATCATTTTCTGAAAAGAAAAATGAAGTGTCAAAAATTTTATATGTTAAATACTACTAAAACATGTAATTCATAAATATGGATATTAAATTCTTTGACAATTAATTGAATACGGAAGACCAGACACACATAAATATATGTAATACACATTTTTGCTTCAAGATATTGGGTTATATTAGAGGGAAAAATACCTAATTTGTTAATCATGTGTTTTATTAACATTTCTACTATAAAAAGAATTGTTTCAACAAATAAAGCCCCATGTTTTGATTCTAAACTCTAGGGTCTAAGATTCTAAAGGAGACTGATTTTCAACTGTGAAAGGTGAACCTGGTAAAATTTAAACACATCTGTCGAGATTCTAAATCATTACTATTTGGGGCCGGCCCGGTGGCGCACTCGGTAGAGCGCAGTGCTTGGGAGTGTGGTGGCGCTCCCACCGAGGGTTCGGATCCCATATAGAGACCTATCCGCTCACTGGTTGAGCGCGGTGCGGGCGCGACACCTAGGGTTGCGATCCCATTACCGGTCACGAAAAAAGAAAAAAAGGAAAAAAAAAATCATTACTATTTAATGTACTAAAGTAAAAGGCAGCTTGACTAAAAAAAAAGAAAAGAAAAAAAATATGTTCTCCTTGCAATAAAAAACAATATAAGCAACTCTGGCAACTGCCTTTCCTAGTGAGGCCATTCACCCAGATTTCTTCTCAAACCCCTAATAATAGCAGACTGTTATATCCCTTTATTTTTGCCATTCCAAAGCAGAATAACAATTATTACCTGGAAATTAAAAAATACGTATATTAGTAAGCATTGACCGAAAATTAGGTTAAAATACAAAATAATTGGTATTATATTTTAAATTATGATCAAACTTTTCTTCAAATACACATTGCAGATACTTAAAAGAAGACCTGTCACACAAATAAGTTTTAGTCAAAAGTTGAAATTAAGAAAACTTTTTACACTGACAAAATTTCTACCAGACCATCACTGATTTGAGTATTATAAGAATATGCATTAACAAGATGCACACATTAAAATCTTTCTGTTCTACAAAATAACAAACAAAATATTTTTAATTTATTCAAATGAGAAAAGAGTACTGTTCCTTTGAATCATAAGCTCTATTCTTTGGGAAATGGCTGGAAAATAAAGCAGAAAAATACTTATACTTATTAACTGCAGGCTTATAGCAGTACCTCAGTGCTATGTTTTTCGGGTTTTTTTTATTTTTTAAAAGAAGAATTCTTGGTCTTAGCAAAAACCACACACCTATTTTAAGAGATTAAATTCTCTTCATCATTAGCAAAACAGATCACAATTAAAAGGCTTCTTTATTCTATTTGATCTCTGTGTTCTCTTTGGTGTGTGTGTTTGTGTATATGTAAAAAGAGAAAGATAGTTCTATTGACTTAGCCCTCAGTAGCATGTCACAATGTATGCTACTTTAAAAAAATATTCATACCTTGCATTTTCAATCCACCTGTAAGCACCATAAGTGAAGTTCCTGCTAGTTACCTGTCATCTTCCCCATGTAATCTCCAACTCAAGTTCTGAATATCCTCATAAAGGACAAGATAATAAGTAAAAAGTAAAACTTTACCCTAATGAAGAGGATCTTTTCTCCCACTCGGTATCTTCCTTGGGAGAGGCGTTCCACACAGAATTTGTTCGGGCATTTGCAAGGAGGATCTTCAGAAATTTGTTTTACCTGAAATGGAAGAGCAGGTAAGTTCATTCTCCTTAATCAGGTTGCATTTAAGTTAATTTGTTCCAAGTGCTCCAAGGCCCCTAGAGAATTAATGATTTTAAATTTGTTCTATATCTATGGACATGATAGGAGCACAGGAATATCACATTAAATCATAACTATGTAAAAGTCAGGTCCTGGAGGCATCTTCTGGAGGCCAATGACTTCATTAAGGCTTAAGCTGGATAATGACAGTGATGATGGTGGAGGATAATGATGAGAAAATCAGTTGGTAATACAGGAATGATGAGTTGGGTTCTCGTTTTTGGAGAATTATAAAGATCACGCACATTAGGCTGTCAAGATAAATCTACTGAAAAACTAAAACAGAATGTATGCTAGATATATTGAAAGCCAGAATAAAATGTGTGTCAACATAGAGTATGTGTTCCTCAGTATGATTTTATTAATTTTACCCATTTTCAAAATAAATTAGAATTTTTTAAATTGTGTATTATTTATTTACTTATTTTTAAATGAGACTACTGTTTAATCTTGTTTTCAACTCTAAGGTTTTCTCTAAGAAGTCCTCTCTAATTCACTCAAATTAACCCTGCAATTCACTCTATCTCAGGGATTCTCACCTACAAAACCTTACTTCTGTGGCCATCTTTTACAGTTTATGTGCATTTTATCAAATATATGCCTGAATATCAGGTTTTTATCTCTATTATATATGTTCTCCCTACTCCTTAAAAAAATACTCATCTAAATGACATGAACACATGCTTATAAATAATGGTGACTATTAGAAGATAATATAATAGTCCATGATTTTATGAATAAGATTTAAGTGTATCTTTTCCCTGATTGGGAACCTGCAATTCTGTGTCTTATAACTGTCCTTTCTTCAACTAACCAATCAATAAACCCAAAACAATAATATCCTGTGTTCTGAGGAAAAGTTTTCATGGAGGAAACAGAAAGCTGTAACTGATGTGCAGCCTGCTTTTGAGAAGCTGGATAGAACAAATTTAGATTCTGAAAAAATTGGCCTGGATTTTCCTGGCCCAGATTCTCCTACAAAGATGTCATGGTGCCTAGAGTTTTGTCATCAAAGAAATTCAATCATTCCTTCAAATAAGTCAATGTCTGACTTCAATCAGCCTTCTACAAAGCAAAAACTGTGGAAAGAGTGACACATGATCTCACTTGCTTGTTGGTGTAAAGGAACTGAACAACTTAGTTTCCCTAGAATAAGAGAGGTTCCGAAAAGCATGAAAGCATAAGACACTGGAAGGAAAACCAAAAAGGGTGGGGGAAACCTGGAAGAAAGTTTATCTTAAGAATTATACAATGATGCCTCAATAAAGACATATAAGAAGGACTAACACATTTGGGGGCAGGGGGAATAAGAGAACCACCCTCAGGGAATACATTTTCATCAGTCCCTTCTGCCATCCCTAATTTTGCCAACATATATATCTATGATTGTTGGTAGTTATTTTTATCATAGCATAGTGTATCTCAGTTATTTGCTAACCTTAATATCTCTCTGCTGGGCTGAGTTACTTAAGGGTTAAGATAGTATTTCATTACATTTTTAAATCCTTGCTATAAAGCACAATGACTTAATAGAATATAAAGAGTATTCAATAAATGCACATTGGATAAATAAATGAATAAATAAGAACATAGATCTATACAGGACACAGGAAGAAATTAGTGGAATAGAGTAAGACTGGATTCAAAGAACTTTAGAGATGATTTCTTTGAAAAATGATGGAACTGCCTAACATTGTTAGTGATTAGGCCCCTGACTTTGAGTTGAGTTTTTCCCACCATATTATACTTGGTCTGTAGCTACTTCCACCCACTACCCCAATATTAACAGAATTCTGTCCCTAGATTTTTTTTAACAATATTCCTGAATGAGATGGTGATAATAAACAAGAAGTATAAAAGTTGGGTAATGGCAATGTGACTGCCTTCCAATAATGCAGAACCACATTCTGAGATGGGGAAGGGGGCATAGGATCAAAGACTGTGACTACACATGTGCTATTTTCAGTGTTTCTCTATGTGTATCTTTTTATATATGTGTGTATAAAATATTTTTTAAAATATAAGTATGTATATGTATATATTTAAAAAAATATATATATATATATATACATCATTTTTATGCCATTGCTAGAAGGGTTATAGTTTTCCTTATCACTAAAATAAGAACTTCATGAGAAAAGCAAGGATAAAGAAAAGGACAAAGGGAGGTCAGGTGACTTGGTCATCCAGAAGAAAATGAGACAGACAGAATCAAAAAAGCACATGGCCTAAGGCCAGAACTCTAGGAGGGTCGCACTGAGCACAATTTTGCTGCCACTCAGTATTTGAGCAAACAGCAAATTGGTGTTCAGGCTCTTCCTCCACTAAGAAATGAAAATCAAAAGTCTGTATGGAAAATATTTTCATCTTGAAGTCTTCTTAGATGAAACACAGACCCTGTTGGTAACAAATGAAGTAAAATACCAGAAACATTTTCTCAAGTGGCCTGCCCTTTTCTAATGCCTTCCTAGCTTTGAAAACAGATTTGATTTTAAAAAGCAAGGATTTTTTGTAGTTGTGTAAGAGGTGGAGGCAGAAATGGAAGAGACAAGGCCAGACTGTGGGCAGTGGAAATATATTGTTAAGTAAACAGTGACTGATGACATCTGTGCTTCTTACATTACCGTAGGATAAGTCAGGCTGGCAGGTGTCCTGTCTTTGGCTAGGAACCCAGCCAGTTTTCTGCTGAAATGGGATTTCAAGAGCAGCCTGATTACTCAGAATTATACTATCTCTCATCCCTGGGCTGAGGAAGTTGATGGAGAAGAGGAACAAAATAAGAATGGTTTCTTAGAACTGTATTCAGCTCATTGTGTGGGAACTAGCTCAACACAAGGGAACGTGAAGAGCAGAACTAAACCCGACCCCACTGTTTTATCACAGCTGAATCACTCTCTCAGGACACCTGGAGAATAAATTACCCTGAATGGACTCCACTGTGCTTCTTTCATGATATCTTGATTAAAGAAGGTCTAATGTATTATCCCCATAAAAGGTCACCTATTTTCTTTTTAAGTTTTCCTCTATTCCCCTAAGTATCAAATAAGGAAATGTGAGGAAATATTGAAGGTTTCAAAACTGGCAGTTATTGCTGAAACTCTTCACTGCAATATGATATCTTAACACAAATCTACTTCTCTCAAGTTTTCTTTTATTTTTTCTCCGTGTTTTCTTTTACTCCTCCTGGCAGTTATTGCTGAAACTCTTCACTGCAATATGATATCTTAACACAAATCTACTTCTCTCTAGTTTTCTTTTATTTTTTCTCCGTGTTTTCTTTTACTCCTCCTTTTTCTTTCTTTTTTTTTTTTTTTCCTTTTTGTCTTTATTCGTGTCCGGCAACGGACTGTAACCCTCAGTGTCGCGCCTGTACCGGACCGGGACGGCAACGGGATCACAACCCTCAGTGCTGCACCCGCCCCTCGCTCAGCCAGTGAGTGGGAACCGGTCTGTATGTGGGATCCGAACCCTCGGCGGGAGCGCCACCGCGCTCACAAGCGGCGCACTGTAGCAGTGCGCCACTGGGCCGGCCCTACTCCTCCTTTTATTTTCTTTTTTTGTGGTTGCATATAATTACATTGCCAGAGTACAAATAGCCAATATGTATTATCAAATAAACACAAGAACTTTGCAAGCTATCTTTATTTTATATCCCTATTCTAAGGCACATGTTGGGTTCATCAATTTCAACTCCCAACTGCTTATATGCCTCACATTCAGTGAAACATTTTCCTTAGAAATTTTCTTTTTATATTAGATATATGAGGCTCGGATTTAAACCATTAGTGAGGCTCAAATTACCTTTTTCTCTGCTCATCTGTCCCTGAAATAAAACAATTTAGTGAAGAACTATTACTTAAACAAAATGCAAACACATCAATGCAGTTCTCCCCAGTGTAGAATTGAGACTATAAGAGACTTCTGTGGTCAAATATGTTTGGAAGATTCCAGGTTAAACAAGATCTTATTATGAAACTCACCAGAGCCTTTTATATGCCAAAGTGCATTGCCAAACTGTAGGAGGGGACTACAGTAAGTTGTATTTCTCAAACTAACCTAACCATGGAATTCATTTCCCCCAGGGCATCTGGTGGTGTTAGTGTTTGATTAAACATTCCTTGAAAATGTTGTTTTAAAGACTTGCAGAAACTAGTATTCTAGCTGGCAATAGTGGAGAAATATCCTCTTCACACATTTCCTACATTAAATTAAAACCCCTAAACTGAACAGATGGTTATGTTCCCAAACTCTTGTAAACTTTAAAGCGGGTTTAAAGCTCTTCTGAAATCCCCTCTATGGTTTCCAGTTGAGAGAATAGAACGTGGAGTAGGGGAGAGCAACCATGGTTGCTTTTTTCTTTTTTTTCTTTCTCCATTTCTTTTTATTTCTAAAACACATCCAGCAAAAATGCATTTTTGATGTGGAATAACTACATGACAACATCAACAGTTTAATTTTCAGATTTTGAAACCTAAATTATTGAGGAGTATAGGAACCTCGTGGTGGTGCAATATACTCATATATTCAAAATTTAAGCAGTTATACCATATCAAAAGAGACAGCCACTTATAATGAGGTCTTTTGATCATTCAAGTCTGAATTCTGATTGATGGAAATCCAAAACAAGCTTACTTTCTACCAAATATCATTACTCATTTATTAGTGTGCCAAAGTTTTGGGGATTTAAGAATAAAATCCTTTTGATTACATTTTTTATGTTTTACATAGAAAAGAAATATAATTCTTATTTATCTACTGACACAGTTCTATGTTAAATGATTTGAACATATGCAGTGTTCTATTTTAATGCATAAGATACTACTGGATTTTATTAGATTGAAATAGTTCCTAATATTTTCTTTCCCATATTTATACAAAATTATAATATTGGGAATAATAATATAACAAATAATAAT